TACTCGTTGCTTAGCAGCGCGTGGGGTCACGTGTCCCTCTTGTGCCCTTCCGGGTTCGGACGGCTGTGGGATTGCCTCTCACTTCACATTGGTAAGTTGATATTAGATATTTTGTATATATTTGCACTTGTCACATGTATATTTTGATCTTGAAAAAGACCCTTGTATGGGTCGAAACGTCCACATTTGGTTTATATAATTACGCTAAAGGAGCACAAAGGCAAGATTTATTGTTTGAATATTTAAAGAGGGTGACTGCCAAGATTTATTTTTGTGTATATATATATATATAGATAGATATGTCATTCATAATGCCAGGTCACTATGTGGCATATCACTGACCATCCTGTACTAAAATTTCCCCCTCCTTGTCAGGATACGTCAGTAGATGCACTTTAAGGTACATTCCGGTCACTATTACAACTTTTTGAATTTGAGGAATTTTGTTCTCATTTATTTCTTATTTCAGAACCAGCAATTGAGAAGGGAGAATATGTAGCTCATTTTACAAAATACATATATTTGAAAAGATCATGGATGCCAGTATCATGCCTGGGTATCCAGTGAATACTAGTGATGTCCCGAACGGTTCGCCGCGGACTCATCATTGAGTAAACTTTGACCCTGTACCTCACAGTCAACAGACACATTCCAGCCAATCAGCAGCAGACCCTCCCTCCTCCTGGACAGCATCCATTTTACATTCATTGTGAAGCTGCATTCTTAGTGAGCTGTCCAGGAGGTGGGAGGGTCTGGTGCTGATTGGCTGGAATGTGTCTGCTGACTGTAAGGTACATGGTCAAAGTTTACTCAATGATGAGTCCGTGGCGAACTGTTCGTGGCGAACCGTTCGCGAACAGTTCGGCAAACCGTTCGGGACATCACTACTGAATACCTTTTGGGCACGCTCTTCTTCCATAACTATTAAATGGTTTTGGGGAATGTTCAAATTATCATTTGACCAAATGATCAAAATTAAAGAAACCTGTGTTTATATAGAAAGGTACATAACTTCACTGTGTCTTCCTTTGAGATCTTTGCACAAACACATAGCTAATTAAAAGTTATTGTCATAATTTTCATATCCTCTTTATTTCTTTTAAATTATTTACTTCATGTGATGTCATGTTTCAATGTCAACAGAAAGCATGACATATGATGTAAATCACTGTATTCCTATGACACCATGGGTGTAGGATCATTAGCGTGCATGGACTCAGGATTCGAAGGATCACATGAATGCATTGAGATGTGTCTACTTCTGCACCTGGAAGTATAGAGGAAGTAAGTGTGTTTTATACTCACCTTCACGGCACATCTCAAAAGAGCATAGGCATGAAAATAGTGAGTGAAAACTGAACAGACCCCAATTTAAAAATCACATTAAGATCACACAAGGAATTGGGTATGTATGCATGATCGAAGTAGTGCCTGATACATATGGCAATGCTAGACTTCAAAAGACAAAAGATGCCCATGATTAAAGGTCAAACATCTGGTTAAAACTAGCACTCGATACTTTCTGATCAAATATTTAATTTCATCTTACATGGTCCACAGGTAGTCAAGCATCCATAATGTGTTCAACAATGAAAACTACATAATGAGCTCTAGTTCTAAAAAAAAAATGTGCTTGTTATAAATGTTATTGTGTTATTTAACAATGTTTAAATGATTCTCTTGCTGCCAGATATAGATCGATTTTGCATTGCCTAAAATAACATCTAGATAATATTTACATCCTGTTAGCTTTCAAAAAAAAAAAAAAAGCTATCTGGCTTTTATGTTCAACTTCTTAAAGATAGTTAAATATGACCATTGATCTAGATTACAGAATATAATAATTAGAAAAATGAATAAAATGCGTAGGTTGATTTTGTAGTTTCCCTAAACTGTGAAAACATGGTTACTCAATGTTTGTTTATTTGCAAATCCAAATGTTTAAAAATTTTATTTTCTTAAACTATATGTGTTAAATCAATATGTAACCATATCCCCCAATTGTCCCTATTTAGGGCCCAAATCCCCCTGTCCCACTTTTCTATCCTAACATCCATCTTTTCAGTGAGCTCCATATTGTTGGTGTGTCTGAACTGCACAGCAATCATACTCACAGTATGTGTGTTTAGAATTCTGATTAAATAAGCTGTATGGTTATTGTTCTAAATTAAATTTTAGTTGCATAAATTGTGATTAATAGGTTACTTAATATTTCTCAGAACAATACAGCCTGCTGGCCACAACCCCACTCACACCACTATAATAGAAGTGTCCCTGTTTCTTTATTTGAAATGTTGGGAGGTGTGTGTAAATGTAGAACAGAGGAATTAAGATTAGTAAAGTTGTAAATAATTAATGAGTGCAGAGAGATAATATTATTCAGCAGACAGACTTGGATAGTCGCATTCATTGCTAAAAGAATAAGGACAACAATAACTGTAATTAATGACAGATGTGTAGTCAAAGGGTGTAAAGTAAACCACATCAGTAGTAGTATGGATATGGAACCAGGACATGCCTACCTCACAGGCCACCACGATCACCCAAGCGTAAGATATCAATAAAAGATATAAATACAGAAATGTCGGGCGAATGGTCACTTAATCCCCTCTCTTCCCCAGTGTAGAGGCTGAACTTTTAGGCATTGCACGGACTAATCCCAGCCCAGTGTTTGATGCCTACCAAGAAATTCCAAATCTTAGAATATCTAAAGCTTGTACAAGCTAATTTCTTATGGTTAAAAAATGACTTCCACCCTCAACCATGCCCCATACACAGTGACTCATATTGTCATTTCAAATCCCTACTACCAGCCCATAGTCATTGACTACCACCCTTACACCAGCTCATAGTCAGTGACTACCACCATCCTACCAGCCCATAGCCAGTGACCCCCACCCTCCTACCAGCCCATAGCCAGTGACTCCCACCCTCCTACCAGCCCATAGCCAGTGACTCCCACCCTCCTACCAGCCAATAGCCAGTGACCCACACCATCCTACCAGCCCATAGCCAGTGACTCCCACCCTCCTACCAGCCCAATGCCAGTGACTCCCACCATCCTACCAGCCCATAGCCAGTGACTCCCACCCTCCTACCAGCCATATCCAGTGACTCCCACCCTCCTACCAGCCATATCCAGTGACTCCCACCAGCCCATAGCCAGTGACTCCCACCAGCTCAGCTAGTGACTCCTATATAGCCAGTGACTCCCACCTCCCACCAGCCCATAGCCAGTGACTCCCACCCTCCCACCAGCCCAGTGACTCCCACCCTCCCATAGCCAGTGACTCCCACTCCTCCCATAGCCAGTGACTCCCACCATCCCATAGCCAGCCACTATCCCACCTCCCACCATCCCATAGCCAGTGTCCTACCACCACTCCCACCACCAGGCCCCACCAGAGCTCCACCAGCCTACATAGCTACAGTGACTCCACCAGCTCCATAGCCAGTGACTCCTACCTCCTATCAGCCTATAGTGACTCCCAGCCCTCTCTACCAGCCTATAGTGAGCTCCCACCAGCCCATAGCCTCCTACCAGCTCATAGCCAGTGACTCCCACCAGCCTATAGCCAGTGACTCCCACCAGCCCATAGCCAGTGACTCCCACCATTCCATAGCCAGTGACTCCTACCCATTCCATAGCAGTGACTCCCACCATTCCATAGCCAGTGACTCCCACCTCCTATCAGCCCATAGCCAGTGACTCCCACCATCCCATAGCCAGTGACTCCCACCCCTCCTACCATCCATAGCCAGTGACTCCCACCAGCCCATAGCCAGTGACTCCCACCCTCCCACCATCCTACCAGCCCATAGCCAATGACTCCCACCATCCCATAGCCAGTGACTCCCACCCTCCTACCACCCCATAGCCAGTGACTCCCACCAGCCCATAGCCAGTGACTCCCACCATCCCATAGCCAGTGACTCCCACCCTCCCACCATCCCATAGCCAGTGACTCCCACCCTCCCACCATCCCATAGCCCATAGCCAGTGACTCCCACCATCCTACCAGCCCATAGCCAGTGACTCCCACCATCCCACCAGCCCATAGCCAGTGACTCCCACCCTCCTACCATCCCATAGCCAGTGACTCCCACCCTCCTACCATCCCATAGCCAGTGACTCCCACCAGCCCATAGCCGGTGACTCCCACACTAGTGACAGCCGCCTGGCCACTGGCCCTCACCCACAGCTCAGGTTGAATCTAGCGGCCATGACACACAGCCCAGTCTGACTGTCGAGCTATTAAGATGATAGGGAGCTAGTAGCCCGCCCTCAGACCGAGGTGGCCCCAGGTATTAAGAGCCTCTCTCTTACCGTATGCAGCTCGGCTCTCCGCCCATTAATGAGTACTAGAAATGAATTGGTCCTCGTGACTCCCCGTACTGTTCCTTGTGATCTGGCAGCTGATTGGCTGTTGCCTAGTAACCCAGTCTCCCCGCTGGTTGTCACGAACTGGGCGGAGACCCGGCTCTCGTGATTGGCTGGTGTCAGTCAGCTGATCTGTGATTGCTCGGCCTGGAGGTGTGGCGCTTCTCGCTTGCTGATTGGCTGCAGTGTGAGAAGGTCTCGGTCAGAGGACAGAAGGAACATGGCGGCGCTGAGGAGATTGCTGATCGCTGGGAAGGTAAGGCCGGGCTGTGACGGTTCTCTCACTGTCCTCTCCCCGCTCTCTGACATGGCATTCACCGCTCTCTGTCTCTTCACAGGCCCCTGTTTCCGGCTTACTGCAGAGAGGATTCCACGGGAGCTCCCCGGCCGCCCTGCAGGTACTGTGCCCGACCCTGAGCTGAGGACACCCGCCTTCCAGAGGCTCTAACCTTGACACCATACATAGCTTCCGGACTACATTACCCATGATGCTCATGGGCCCTGCCAGACCCTCTATATACTGCATGTGTCCTGATACAATGACAGCCCTGCCGGACCCTCTGATATACCGTGCCGGACCCTCTATGATATACCGTGCCGGACCCTCTATGATATACCGTGCCGGACCCTCTATGATATACCGTGCCGGACCCTCTATGATATACCGTGCCGGACCCTCTATGATATACCGTGCCGGACCCTCTATGATATACCGTGCCGGACCCTCTATGATATACCGTGCCAGACCCTCTATATACTGCATGTGTCCTGATACAATGACAGCCGTGCCGGACCCTCTATGATATACCGTGCCGGACCCTCTATGATATACCGTGCCGGACCCTCTATGATATACCGTGCCGTTATATAATATACGTGCGGACCCTCTATGATATGCGTGCGGACCCTCTATGATATACCGTGCCGGACCCTCTATGATATACCGTGCCAGACCCCTTATAATATACCGTGCCGGACCCTCTATGATATACCGTGCCGGACCCTCTATGATATACCGTGCCGGACCCTCTATGATATACCGTGCCAGACCCCTTATAATATACCGTGCCGGACCCTCTATGATATACCGTGCCGGACCCTCTATGATATACCGTGCCGGACCCTCTATGATATACCGTGCCAGACCCCTTATAATATACCGTGCCGGACCCTCTATGATATACCGTGC